GTCAGAGCTGCACCGATCCGAAGCCAGGATCAAGAGCTTCCTCCGGGTCTCCCATTTGGGCCATCTTCTGTTGCTTTCCCAGGCCACAGCAGAAACTGGATCAGAAGTAGAGCAGCCGGGACTTGAACCGGCACTCATATGATATGCCAGCACTGCAGGCGGTGGCTTCACCCGCTACACCTCTGCACCAGTCCCTACCCATTTTAAACGAGACAGAAAGTAAGAGCCAGGGAGAAGCCGACACAGGCAGACACCTCCATCCACATGGCGGGTAACTGTGGACCGACGCCTTGCAGGGGGAAGGCCGGGGCAGGCTCACAGCAATGCTGGAGACAGATGACCTAAGCCGTGTGGACACCCGTCAGACTGGACGTCACGTCTGTGCCCCTGCAGCTCAGTGACTAGGCAGACACAGTTAATCAGTCAGAGAGATCCCCAAGGGGCAGGAAGAGGCACCGTGTGGACGGTGCCAGACACGGGAGCAGACAAGGAGGGAACGGGGTAGCTTGTCAGAGAGACCCAGGGCTCCAGCGAGGCGGATCAGCTGTGCTGCCTTTTCTAGCTGCTCCACCCCTGCCTCTGGGTCTGACCACTCGGTCGTACTGATTCCCTCGCTCTGCCTCTCTCGTCATCGCTCTGTGGCCCTCACAGAAGAGGGAGGTGACTGCATCTGCAGGCGTCACACAGACAGGGGCCGGGGTGTGCGCGCCGGGGTGTGCGCACCAGGGTGAGCTCCCAGAGGGAACCGCACCGGCACACACCGGCCAGTCCACGGGAGCACCGCATGGATGCAACCACACAGGTCCTACGGCCAAGGTGAAGAACAGGGGCCGGCAAACCTTCTCTCCATGCCAGCACCCCAGAGTGGAGAACACAGGAGGAGCAGGACACGCGGCGGGCAGGGGAGGGAACCCTGAAAGATGGGGACCGCACAGGGGTCTCTGGGACCTCTGCATGGCTGGGGGAGAGTTTCTAGGGGGAGCCCCGTGTTCTCCCTGATGCAGGGGTCAAGGTGGAATGAGAGGGCACCAGGGCGGTGGAAACTCACAGGGCGTGTGGAGCTGTCAGAGGATCCCTAGAGGGACAGGACGCTGATCAGGGTGACTGTGGGGCCTGTGGCTGGGGAAGGGGTCATCTGAAAGGGTTAGAGATGCCGCCCTCAGCGGCTACCACAGGGCCGGCAGCCGCACCTGCTCCCACAATCCAGACCAGTGAAAGGCCGCAACTCACGGGCCCTGGGACTCGGGACAGACTTTGCCTCACATGGGGAATGAGTCCCAGACTGAACACGTCTCAAATCTCGCTGAACGAATCTCAAAAACAAGACCCAAAAGGATAAATGTGGGGCCGGTGCTGTGGTGTTGCGGGTAAAGCCACTGCCTGCAGTGCCAGCATCCCATGTGGGTGCCAGTTCCAGTCCCGGCTGTTCCACTTCTGATCCAGCTATCTGCTATGGCCTGGGAAAGCAGTGGAAAGTGGCCCATTTGCTTGGGCCCCTGCACCCATATGGGAGACCTGGAAGAAGCTCCTGGCTCCTGGCTGCAGATCGGCACAGCTCTGTCCATGTGACTATTTGCGGAGTGAACCAGCAGATGAAAGACCTTTCTCTCTCTGTGTCTGTCTCTCTCTCTCTGCCTCTGTAACTCTGCTTTTGAAATACATAAATAAATCTTATAAAAAGTGAAGGAGATCCTCAGGCAGAAGGAAACAGAGACCTGCAGAGGAGGTGAGCAGCCCTGGGACGGGCGCGGTGTGATAAACGTGCGATTTCCCTCTATTAGTACAATGCTGAAATGGATAACCGACCATTTAAGCAAAACATAGTAACAATGTAACACGAAGTTACAGCAAATGTAGATTCAACTTATGGTGAGGACAGCCCGAAGGTCAGGACACACACAGCCAGGTTCTTGTCCCCGTGTGAATGAGCTGAATGTGGAACACAGGCTGTGAGACACTGAACATTGATTCTGTGTTTCGTAAAGCAGCCATAAAAACACAAAGCTCACAGTTATGACCAGCGAGTGACACAATGACATCATAAAATGGTGTGATAAGTTATACATGTATATTATGCACTTGAAAGCCAAAGCTAGGAGTCACAGCTACTGAGCCAGGAGCCAAAACAGAAATGCAGAAGCTACTGAACACTGAGGAAGGAAGAAACAGAGGAAAAGGGAACTAAGCACAGACAAGAGGGCACAACGGCAAGCCTTGGGGGCATCCACTGGGTGGGAAGTCTGAGGTGCACAGCGTTCATGAGCGTGCCTGAGGCCGTGGGCAGCACTGAACCCTCTATGTGTGTTCTAGGTTTTCCCTCCTTGGCACACCCACGGTCAAGCTCAGCTTCCAAGTTAGGCACTAATGAAACGAGGGGGCTTCAAAAGTTCACGGAAAATGCAATCAAAAGATAAGTTTAAGGGCCAGCGCTGTGGCGCAGTGGGTTGAAGCTCAATCATCACTCCAATATTGGGCACTGGTGTTGCAATTGGCAGCTTAACTGGCTGCACCACAATGCTGACCCCAAGCAGAGACGTTCCAGAGCCGTGACCCTGGGAAGACCCCCAAGGTGCCATCATCCCTGGGCTCCCAGCTAGGGGCTCGAGTCCATCTCCCACGTGACAGGCCATCTGCCACTCTCCCGTGAGCGTGTTCACAAATCCTTCTCCACCCACTTGTCTCGCAGGCTTGTCTAGGGATTTTCAAATTTTCCCATCCAAATCCACCTCTGAACTTGTGTGGTCATCCCTCTGTGGGAGGGAAGGGCTTGATGGCACTCATTTACCTTCCTGGGGGCTCAGTGCTGCCCGGCCCGACACAGAACTGTCCGACGGAGCTCGCTCTCGGCTCAGGTCTTCAGCCAACAGACTAATGCCTTCGTCGTCTCAGCCGAGCACTGACCACACCGTGGCCATAACTTTTGAGCGTGAGTGTGTTTCTTCCTGCCGGCTTCACAGAGAGACGGTTGGTGCTCGCTGAGTCTTAGCAACCTCAGTATAGGGGTTGTCTTCTTAGGTGGGGAACTCCGACCTTCTCATTACACTGCAGCTTCTCGTTGGCGTATCTGCATTGCCAGCAGCAGACCACTTGAGCTTTGGGGCCATTCTAAACAGAGTAAGGGGTCCTTAAATGTAAGCACTGTGACACTGTGATGGGGACTACAGGGGAGGTAACATACACACAGCAGATACGCTGGCCCAGGGGCTGATTCTCGTCCTGGGTGGGATGAAATTGAATCCCACGACTCAGAATGGTGTGCAGACTTAAAATTCTGTAAGTTGTTCATCCCTGGACTTGTTCCACTGTGGTTGATCACAGGGAGCTGAAGCCTCAGACAGGGGCAGTGTGGGACATTGTGGGTGGGGAGGGGTCTTCTCCACGTTGGAGGTGGGTGGCTCCTTTGGATTTCTCAGGCCCAGAGCTGGAGGGAGTTTGCTTCAGGACAAATCAAGTCTGGAGACGCACCCATACCTGATGTAGGTGAGACTCTGGGCTTACAATTGGTATTGATGTGAGTTGGGGTTTGAGGATGATTGGGATGGGATGGATGTGTTTTACATGTGATAAGGCTGGAGTTTTGGGGTTTCCAGGGCACAATGCTGAGGTTCAAACAAGTCCTCCCCTGCACACAGGTGGAAGAATAACGGCCATGGCGGCAGTATGGAGAGGGAGGCTGGAATGGCGCTCAGCCCAGTGGTCAAGACACCCACATCTCATACCATGTGTGGAGTGCCCGGTGTCGACCCCAGGCCCCTGCTCCTGACTCTGGCTTCCTGCCTATGCAACTGGGCTTCGTGGTGCCACCTTCCTGGGAGACCTGCATAGCCTTCCCAACTCTTGTATCCACCCTAGTCCAGTCCCAGCCATTGTGGGCAAGTGAGGAGTGAGCCAGCAAGCAGGAGTGCTCTCTCTCTCTCACACACTCTCTCTCATGCTCGTTCTCTCTCTCTCTCTCTCTCTCTCTCTAATAAAATGTAGTGGGGCCCACAGGAGGCAGTCAGGCTCCAGAGCTCTGCCTTCATGGAGGGATTACTGTTGTTATGACAGGGGAGCACCTGTTACCCCGGGAGTGGGCTGGACTCCAGGGAGTTGGCCCCGTTGTCCTCCATCTCATGTGTCGGCCCGCCCAGCCACGCCACCACTGGAAGCCCTCACCGTGCACCGGCGCCCACAGGTGGGCTTCCACCTCCGGGACTCACAGCCAGATGCATAGGTGCTGGCTGTGAATGGCTCAGTCCCTGGTTTCTCCTCTAACAGCCAGACATGGACGGACACAGCCTCTGCACCCCTGGAGCTCAGCGCCCGACTGCAGGAACAGACACTGAGTCAGAGACAGAGAGCGAGAGGGACCCAGGGAAACCCCAGGTGCTCACAGACACAGAAGAGGCAGGGGACCCGCCCAGCTGTAGTCGTGGTGATCAGAGACCCTGGGGACCCGACGGGGCACCCTGTCAGCTCTGTGTCTCCTGCCCCGCCCCTTCTGTTCCTGCCATTATTGCCGCTGTGGCTGTCACACAAGGGATGCTGGGAGCCTAGATGCAGGAGTGATCACCCTGAGCTTCTCGAGCCCCTAAAGAGAATGGGGCTGGGAGGTGCCCAACACACCAGCACCCACACAACCCGCACATGGGAGCCCCTTTCCCATCATGGGCACCCGCAGAGACGCAAGAGGGTGGGACAGACGCCGGCAGACCTGGAAAACCTACGTGCCAAACAGAGCTGCAGACAGACAAGTGCTCACTGCCTCCCGTGGAAATAAACAGACACTCACGTGCACTCTACACCCCCTCCACCTCCCCCTGCAGTCCCTGCCAACATCCAGGAAGGGGAGGGGGCACAGTGACGGGCAGTGAGCTGTCACTGGGCTGCCTGGGCTTGAAGTGTGTGTCCTCTGGCTCCCAAGTTCACACTGTGGTAATGATGAGAGGAGAGGCGGGGAGTGGGTGAGGTTGATTACTGGGTGGGGATCCAGGCTCAGAATAAAAGGCCCAGCGCGAGGAGGCTGCAGCAGGTGGACAGCCGACAGCCGAGACCATGGAGTTCAGCCTGCTCCTCCTCCTGGCTTTCCTCGCAGGCCTCCTGCTGCTTCTGCTCAGGGGCCACCCCAAGGCCCACGGCCGCCTCCCCCCGGGACCCTCCCCTCTGCCCGTCCTGGGGAACCTTCTGCAGATGGACAGGAAGGGCCTGCTCCGCTCCTTCCTGCAGGTGAGACACAGATGGACGGGTCGGTCCTGGTGAGCCCTCCCTGCTTGGGTGCCTGGGGCTCACATGCCAGAGAGAGCCAGGCCTCCTTCCAGGCTCCTGGAGGGAGTGCGGGCGCTGGCGAGCAAGGGGCGCAGAGCCAGAGTGTGGTGGTGAAGGTGAGATTGTCACGGGTGACCCTGCTCAACTGGAGCTGCAGGTGGACAGCACGGGGCATATGGGTGTGAGCCACGGGTGCTGAGTTTCACTCTCCCTGCCATGATTGTCACCTCCTTGGGTGCCCGCCTGTGCCTGGAAGAGTATGAGAAAGGGCGGTGACAGTAAATCATCAAATAGATTGTTGCGTCTGCCATCAAGAGAGAGCAAAACCAGCCAAGCCAATGCCAGGAGCAAGGGGAGGGGGGAGGGAGAGCTGGAGGAGCTGGCGGGGCGTGCTGCTCAGTGAAGCCTGTGATGGGTGCTATGCTGCAGCGGGCTAGGCTGAGCCTGGGCCTCGGCACCCACACGCACTGCTTCTCTGCTCCCATCCAGCTTCCTGCTGATGCATCCAGGAGGCAGCAGATGATGGCGCCGGTGCTGGGCCTGCACCCACATGGGAGACCCAGATGGGGTCTGGGCTCCTGACTTCAGCCGGGCCAGACCTAGTGTGGGGGCATTTTGGGAATGACCTAGCAGATGTAGGATCTCTCTCTCTCCACGGCTCCAGCCATTCCGGCCATCTGGGGAGTGAACCAAAGGAAGGAAGTCCTTTCTCCTGTCTCTCTCTCTCTCACTGTAACTCTACCTCTCAAATAAATAAATAAATAAAACTTTTAAAAAAAGATTAAACATCAAAAGGAGAATGCACTGTAGCAGCAGCTGAGTCTCCAGCAGTGACTGCCGGCTCCATCCGCTGCTTTGCATGCTGGTTTATTAACAATTAGCCAGCATCTGCTAACCCATTCCCAGCAGGATAATGGGAATGAGACAGTAACTTCTAGTTCCTCTGCCTCCTCCCCCTGCCAGACCAACCACATTCCTGAATCTTGTCATCTTATTGATTTGAAAGGCAGAGTTGCAGTTCAGGGCTAAGCCAGGACTCTAGAACTCCATCTGGGTCTCCCCCATGGGTGCAGGGGCCCAAGCACTTAGGCCGCCTTCTGAGCTTTCCCGAGTGCAGTAGCAGGGAGCTGGATTCGAAGTGGGGCAGCTGCGACTTGAACTGGTGTCCACATGGGATGCCAGCACTGCAGGCAGCAGCTTTACCTGCTATGCAACAGTGCCAGCCCTTCAAATTCATATATTCATTTGAAAGGCATAATTAGAGAGAGGAGAGAGATCTTCCATCCACTGGTTCACTCCCGACATGGCTACAATAGCTGGGCTGGGCCAGACAGAAGGCAGGAGCCAGGAACTCCATCCGGGTCTCTCCCGTGAGTGGCAGGGTCCTGAGCACTTGGGCCATCCTCTGCTGCTTTCCCAGATGCATCAGAAGGGACCTGGATGGGAAGTGGAGCAGCTGAGATTCGAACCAGCGATGCTATGGATGCCGGCATGGCAGGGGGGCGGCTTAGCCCCGGGTCACAAGGCTGGCACCTGATCCCCTGTCGCTCCCCCTCTTCGTGGAGGAGCAACACAGGACCCTGCGCTGTTCTTTCGTCTGCTCGGCCCTCCCCGGGTTTGCTGCTGGTTCTTCCCGGGTTGGCTACTATCCCTTCCACCTCCGTGGAAGGGCAGTTCCCCCTGGCCGCATTCCCCACTTCCGCAGGGGAGCGGCACACCGCCGGCCGGCTCTCTGGGGGGCTGCACGGGTTCCCTTAGATGTTCCCCATAGATGTTCCTGGTGCATGCCGTCTCTCTCCTCCTTTATAGTCCTCCTCCGCCAATCCCAACTCGGCTGAGTACGCTGTTCTCCAATCAGGAGCAAGTCCTACAGTTAATTGGTTGAACTGGAGGCAGCTGTGCGGAAGCTGTTTACTTCTCTCCCAGCGCCATATTGTGGGAGAGCAGATGCATAGAATAAGTCCTAATTCGAGTAACTTAGTCCAGTCCGGATTGCTCCCCACAGATCCCCCTTTCTTTTTATTTTTTAGCGTTGATACGCGCCTGTCTTCGGTGTCCCGCGGAACACACTCTGCTCTACTTGCTAGAGTTGCCACAGGCTCTTACAAGTCCTATCAATCAGGAAAACCGAATCCGGGTCCTCTCTTCGCCATTGTGAGGAGGTTTTTAGGCGCTGATGCGTGCCTGTGTTCGGTGCCCTGCAGCGCATGCTCTGGTCGAGCC